CCAGCAGCGCTGCCGCCAGTCAGCAAGTGACCGAATGAGGCTGCCAGGGGAAAGAGCTGGCCTGCTCGCGCAGCCTGGCTGCACTGGCCTGGGCCTAGAAGCTTCCGAAAGGCCCCAGGATGTTGCCTTTGCTCTGCAGCTACTGGGCCTCGTTCGGTTGGGCCTCCCAACTGTCAGTGTATGAGGCTGCGATTCACGCCCAGGGCCTGCATTCTTTGGAAAGGCCCGGTAGGTCGTGGAAATGTCTTTGTTGCTCAACCTGTGTTTCTTTCAACCAACTGGCGCGTCGCAACTGCCTGGACCCCAAATATGAAATTGACAGTCAAAGGCCTCTTGTGATAAGTCAGCCCCGCCTTCTCTTAGGGCGGGCACCACTGCAACCGGGGCCCCTTAGGCCGGCCGAGGACCTAGATCCTCGCATTCCCTCCTCCTTTACTTCGTTAGTCCTCTGAGAAGTCTCTTAGTCTGCAGGCATCTTCCCTTTCAGTTCTCTTTCATAGCCTGCTATCACTTGAGGTGTTGTTCTCAGGATTTCTTCTCGTGTGAACCAGCGATCTTCCTTGGGATCCAGATGATGTCTGAAGCTCGCACGATACTGCATTCTCGGTTTAGGAGGGCGCCCTCTGCCTGATGGTCGAGGAACAGGCATTACTCAATGCTCCACGATCTGGTCGATGTCCACCTCGCCATCCATGGTTGGGGGCAACATTGATCCCCTTGAGGGAAACTGGTCAGTAGCAGCGAAAGGTGCCAACTTAGAGGCATGGAACACAGGGTAAGTCCTTAAGTGAGCAGGAATACGAATCACGTATGAAGGCCCATCCGGTTGATATCCTACAATGTCCAAGATCTCCCAGGGCCCAAAATATTATGGCATCAGTTTTCGTGAAATTCCCATCTCCTGACCCAGTTCGGATGACTTTACCCAGACTCGATCACCTACCTGAAAGTTAGAAGGCCGTCTGTGTTTATTCTCGGATGCGATCATAGCTTCCTGAGACTTCCTAATGTGTTCAATGGCCTGCTGCAGCATCTGCTCATATTTAACAGCAAATTCTATGCTGCCAGGTGCTGCAGTGGGTTGTCTGTCTGGTAGCAGAAAGTCAAGTGCAGTTCTGGGCTTCCAACCAAGGTGCAACTGGTTGGGAGTCATATCTGTAGTAGTATGCACAGCGTTGTTGTACAGGCTGGCTACGAGAGGTAACTTCTCGTCCCAATCATCCTGACTTGGCTTAATATAATGCCGAAGCAGTTTCTGTACTACGCGGTTCATCTGTTCTGCCTGGCCATTTGACTCAGGGTGATTCCCTGACGTCATTTGGAGCTTGGTACCCATCTGTTAGGTTGTTGCTTGCCACAGTTTGCTGGTAAACCTTACATCCCTGACACTTACTATTGACGTAGGTAGCCCAAAATCCCTAACCCAGTTATCCAGAAACAGTTTGATGACATAGTCGGTTTTAGCAGTTTCTTGCATACTTAGTAAAGCGGTCCACTATCACAAAGAAATGTCTCTTTCCAGACTTACTGGTCACAAGAGTATCCATGAAGTCCATGGACACACTCTGACCAGGACCTTCAGGAATCGGCAAGGGCTTAATGAGCCCAAGCGGAGCCTGAGTCCTAGGTTTGTCCCTTTGGCAAACCTGGCAAGTTTCGACGTATTTTTTTGCATCTAGCATCATAGTGGGCCACCAGAACTTCTGCACTAGGTTAGCTGAGGTCTTTTTGTATCCGAAATGTCCCGTTGCATCGTGACACTCACCTAAAAATAAACTACGCAAAGACTCACTATTTGGGACACACAATCTTTTATTCCCTGCCTTCTCAAGAAACAGCAAGCCGTCTACCATCGCAAATTTGTCCAAAGTCTTTCTGTCCTTTGCTTGGAATCTATGGATGATCTCAGACATAACTGGATCTTGCTGATAGGCTTCCACAAATGATCAAGTGAGATCGTTAGATATGCCAAATTATGTAACCAACGCACCCAGATAATATGCCCGACGAGATAGTGCATCAACCACTTTGTTGTACTCGCCCTTGATTGGATAAAGTTGATAGTCATACATGTCTATCACTTGAATCCACCGCTTGAGTGCGTCGGAGAGCACAGGCTGTGTCTTAATCCAGCGCAAGGTCTCATGGTCAGATCTCACATAGAAGAATCTGCCGAGGAGATAACGTCTCAAGTGGACCAACGCTCTATATAGGGCATAGAGCTCACGCTCATATGTGGACTTCGCTAGTTTTTGAGATGGCATCTTCTTACTCATGTACTCGATAGGTCTCAACTTGGGCCCCTCCTTTTGCGCAAGGACCGCGCCTATGCCATATTGGCTGGCGTCTGTGGTCACGACAAATGGTTTATCAGGATCGGGAAGTTTAAGAACCTCATAGTGTGTCAAAATATACTTCAGTTTCCTGAAGGCCACCTCACACTCTTCAGTCCACTCCCAAGCGGTGTCAAGTCGAGTAAGATCAGTTAATGGGGAAGCTATAGTACTATAGTTCTTCACAAACAGACGATAGTAGCCCGTCATCCCCCAAAATGATCTGACCTCAATAACAGTCTGAGGTCTGGGCCAGTCACGTATACTGGCCACCTTGGCATCATCCAGCCTCAGTTCATCTGCTGAGATTTCATGACCCAAGTACAAGATCTTGGTGTGACCAAACTCGCATTTCTCCAAGTTAATCTTGTATTGGTGCTGTCTTAGGAGACCTAGCACTATTTTCAACTGCTCAGAGTGCTCCTCTACAGTCTTACTAAAGATAAGAATATCGTCGAGGTACACGACGATAAACTTATCTAAGTAATCATGAAAAATCATGTTCATCGCGTGCTGGAACGTACCAGGTGCATTGCATAGACCAAAGGGCTTCACCACAAACTCGTATAGACCGTACCTGGTCTGAAATGCAGTTTTGTGGTGGTCCTCAGGTCTAATGGCAATTTGATGGTATCTGGACTTCAAATCTATCTTAGTGAAGTGTCGGCATCCCTGCACTCTATCCAAGAGGTCGTCGATGCGGCGTAGGGGCTCCGCGTTCTTAACGGTGATGGCATTGAGGCCCCTATAGTCAATGCACATCCTCAAGGTACCTCCCTTCTTCGGTACGAATAAGACTGGAGCGCCGTAAGGGGAGGTACTAGGCCGTATCCATCCCTTCTCTGTGAGCTCCTTGAGCTGGCGGCGGAGCTCATTTAACTCTGCCGAAGACATCCTATAGATTCGTCCTCTAGGTACCTTACTACCTGGGACAACCTCTATTGCATGGACCACCTCCCTTTCTACCACACCTGTGGGCTCCTCAAAAAGGTCTGAATATTGTGCGACGACTAATTCTATCTCTTGGGGTGTTTTTATGGCCTCCCCTTTCTTAGAGACAAATACTAGATACATGCCCTCCTCGCGATTCTGCTTATCATAGTTATAGAAGGATGATGCACACATGCACCCGTAGTTTTCTATCAGACTGCTAGCTTTGAACTTCTGCAATCTAACAGATCTACCATTGGGCAATTTGTGAATCAATACCTTTCTATCCCAGTCAAACTGCGGTTGCGCGACTTCGAGGTAATACATACCTAGGAGCATGTCAAAGGGCAGTTCGTCACTAACCAGGAAGGAGATTTTATGAATCACTTCCACTCTTCCATAGGAGAAGGTACAACTACGTCCTTGACATAGTCTTTTACCAACATTTGGTGGTTGGTGGCCAGCGTAGAAGCTACAGTTCTGCTAAGCCGCTGCACATGGTCCCCTAAGCGCAGTCTGTCCATACAAGCACGACTGATGAAGTTCCGTGTAGAGCCTATGTCTGCGAAGGCGCCAACCTTGCGGCCACCTACATCAACCTCTACCACGAAATGTTCACCCTTTGGACCTCTACTTATCTTCGCCCAAGACTCCCTGGGGTCCTTCCCTGACCACTAAGTCTCTAACTCTTCTAGGGCCTCAGACACATCTCTCGAACAGAGCGTCGGTGGGTCTGAATGTGTCCACCGGGCGATACGTGGGTCACTAGCCTTGGCCAACGCCTGAAGTGGGGGAGGCAACGTAACCACTTCAGCGCGAGTAAGAGCGGCTAAAACTTCTACTCGCCCAAGGTGTTTCCCTGCGAAGTGCTCGCAGAAGCACCGTCAGAGTTCGAAGATAGTCCCACCACCGTTGGTGAGGCTACCCTCGTCAGAACTTTGTTGCCTCGACACGTTCGTGACGTGTGGCAATAGTTGCCACAGTTCATGCATGTGCCCCTAGCAACTCGGTCCCTCCACACCTCGTACTCTAAACCAAGCTTCACCCAAGCAGGTGTGCCTTGGTCGCCCTGACCCGTGGACCGGCCTACCTTCTTCTTCCCGGTCCCCCTAGCCTTTGCTTTGATGGGTGCCACGACTCCCCCATCTGAAGTCTCACTGGCCCCATCATGCTCTGTGTCCTCCCCAAGGTCTGGGAAGTAGTCAATTTCTGTCGCCTGACCATCGTGGTCGACGAACATTAGTTGACCTTTCTTTTTCCAGTCTTGGGGTAGTCTCTTCTTCCTACCATCGCCCTGACTCTGATGCGCGAATCCCCACTTTGCCTCTATGTCTAAGGGTTTCTTGCTGAAAGAGGCGAAGTTGTGTTGATCAACATAAGCCTCATCTACCAGCTTTGTCCTTACCTTTGAAGGTAGACATCTGAGGTAATCCGTAAGGAGTACCTGCTGGTCATAGCGCACACCAGGCACCACGAGCAGACGTTCTACGGTATCCATGAGCTCTCTCACATTCTTGTACAGTCTGGCACAAAGACTGTTGATCGCGTACGTGGCCTTTTCAGCCCCTTGCGGGTCATGCCACTTGTTGTAAACGGACCGTACGAACTGTTCCAATGTCTGGGCCTGGGCCCAGGCATCGAAATCCTGAACGTAGCCCTCCTGCTGCACTAGGCCATTTAACGAGTGGGCTGCTGACCCCTCTAAAAAGGAGGCAGCCACAACAACTTCTTGCTCTGGCCTGGTAAGCTTGTGCCTCACGTTAGTAGGCACCGTCCTTACCCAGGTATCCAAATCCTCGTCCTTCTTCCTGTCGCCGGAGAAGGACTTAGGACTCAGCAAGGGTATCTTGGGCATCCACTGCATAGGCTGCATGGGCCAAGGGGCCTGCTGCAGTGGCTGCATAGCCATTGAAACAGGTTGCTGCACGCTAACCTGGGCCTCACTTGACAGTGGGACTGTAGTAACCACTTTTGTCGATGGTACGACCGAGCCTCTAGGAACCTGACCACTAGTCGCTACAATACCACCTGGAGGGGGCATGCCAAACATAGGTTGGAAAGGTTGCCCTACCGGCGGAAGCGTCCTTGATGGACCACCGGTCGAAGGGGGAGCTACAACAAACTGAGGGTGCCTCATCAATGGATGAGGAGCCTGCATTGCAGCCAGAATTTGTTTCTGGCCTACCACTAGTTCGGCCAACACCTCTTGCTGAGCTACCTGCGTCTCCGCCACACACAAGAGCGCGTTACGCAGTGCTCTTATCGCAGGGTCAAGTGTTGACTCGTCTAGCTCTAATCTGCTTAACTCGTGCATTCTACTCCCTAGTCTAACTTTCCTCATAATTGCTTTCCTTCTCCTCTCTGCTGCCTCATCCAATTGCCGCTGTAACTCATCCTGAAGTTCTTCTGCTTGGAGGATTTCATAATCCTCCGGCGCGAGTTGAGTCTGCTGGCTGACTCGCAAGCCAGCAGTCTGGCTAATGGACCCCTGTGAACCACTCTAACTAACTCCTGACGAAGTGGACTGTGAAGAGGTTTGTGACATGGTAGATGAAGTGGCCATGGTTGTACCGGTGTTAGTTATAGTTCTAGACCTGGCACTATCCTCAGCCACCCTCACTCTCTCTCTAGCCTCTCTCTGCAGTCTCCTCTCGTCTCCTGGACCTAGCTCTCGGAAAGTCAAGGGTCGACTACGAGCAGTTCCACGAGTAGTCCTACGGTCGTCCACTAATAACTCCTCACTAGTGCATGCATCACTCATGAGCTACAGTGTGTGTGATCTAAACTAGAAGCCACACTGAATCCTACCTTAGCCTGACGCACAACCGATTACGAATCACAACTAATTTCGGTTGGACTGAACAAAAAACAGTTAGGGTTGATAAGGAAGAGAGCAACGTACCTTATAATGCTGCCCCCAACCACAGATTTCTCACCGGCAACCTGATGTGCATTTATGATGACCGGTCTTTGCCTCAGCACAACCAACAGCAGAATGTGGTTCCACCTCGGCTTAATATGTCACATCAGCGAGCTCTCATCATCCAGCATACACCCCGTATGTCACCACATAGCTCCCTGGCGCGCCCACACGACCCTGGGCCGCCT